AGTACCAAATCTGGAAGTTCGGAGTCATTTTCACAGACAATGTGAGGAGGGGCCTGTAGGTGGGGAGGGACTCAGTAGGGTGGTGCCTTGGGAGTTGAGGCTCCATCCCCAGGGGTCCCTGACCGAAGAGTGACTCCTGAGCCCCTGTGTACCTGGGACCCTAGAGCACCTTCTCACTCCTGAGGTTCCTAGTCCCCAGGACATCCTTTGACACCTCAGGGTGCTGCTGGATTCCCAGGCTAGTTGCTTCTAGGCTCCCCAGCTCCCCTCAAAGTGCTCCCCATTCCCCCCAGGGTGCTCCCCATCCACCACAGACTGCCCAATCAGAGTTGGCAGCCCCCAGGAGCTCCAGGGGTGTCCCCATGTGTCTCTGATCCTGGCCCCTGTGTGCCCACAGTCTTTCCTGTACCTGGGCTGGTACATGGTGATGTCTCTCCTGGGACACTACAACAACTTCTTCTTCGCTGCCCACCTCCTGGACATTGCCATGGGCGTCAAGACGCTTCGCACCATCCTCTCGTCTGTTACCCACAATGGGAAGCAGGTGTGCAGGGGACCTGGCAGAGATGGGTGTGGTAATCTGGCACCAAGCAGCTGGGATGAAGAGGGGCAAGGCCAGGGGGCTGTGCCAGGGTGTTGTGGGCAGTGAGGACAGAGCAAGGGCCCTGTGGGCTGAGTGGGGTAAGGACTGGGAAGGGAGCTGGGCTTGGTATTGCACACCTGTAATCCCAGCATTCTAGGAGGCTGCGGCAGGAAGATGGCAATTCAGGTCCAGCCTGGGCAGCCTGGTGACTTAGCAAGACCCTGTCTCAAAATAAAATATTTAAAACGGGCTGGAAATATGGCTCAGGGCGAAGGTCCCACATTCAATCTCCAGTATCAACAACAACAACAAAAACCAAAACAAAACCAGAGCTGACGCACCCTGCCTGCTCACAGCTGGTGATGACCGTGGGCCTCCTGGCGGTGGTGGTCTACCTGTACACTGTGGTGGCCTTCAACTTCTTCCGCAAGTTCTACAACAAGAGCGAAGATGAGGATGAGCCGGACATGAAGTGTGACGACATGATGACGGTGAGCCCCTCCACTAGAGCTCACTGGGCTTTCTTTTCCCATCTGTAAAAGGAGTTAATAGTGGTAACACCTAGCCAGGAGAGCATGGTGGCACTTGCCCGTAATCCTAGTGACTCTGAGGTGAGAGGATCACAAGTTCAAGTCCAGCTGGGTAATTTAACCAGACCTTGTCTCAAAACAACAGCAACAATAGGAAAAACTGGTCATGTAGCTCAGTGTTAAAGCCCTGGGTTTAATCCCCAGTATCCCCCAAACAATAAGACAAAAAAAGAGTATACGTATTTCATTGCCTTGTCATGAGGGCTCACTGAGCTGGGTCATCTAAGCTACACTGAACAGTGCCAGGCACATATAAGTGCTCCCTCAATGTTAGCTATTGTTCCAGTATTATTTAAGCTGCTAAAACTACACATTATTGGGCTGAGAATGTAGCTCAGTGGTAGAGTGCTTGCCTAAGCATTCATTAAGCCCAGGGTTCAATCCTCAGCACCACAAAAATAAATAAACAGTGCCTACTTCACAAGGTTGTTTGTAGAACTAAAAGGTACTCCCTGGCCATTGAAGATTTAAGTCTTAGAATGGGAATTGGGGTGTAGCTCACTAGTAAAGCATGTACTTAGCGTGCATAAGGCCCTGGGTTTGATCCCCATCACTACCACCAAAAAAAAAAAAAAGTCTTAGAATAGTGCCTGGCAGGTATTAAGACTTATTTAAGTGTTAATTACATTACTTGTAATTTAAAAAGTTTCAGTGGGCCAAGTGTGGTGGCACAGGCCTATAATTCAAAGATTCTGGAAGGATGAAGCAGGAAGATTACAAGTTCAAACCCAGCCTGGGCAATTTAGCAAGACCCTGTCTCTAAATAAAACTAAGGGCTAGTAGGGGTGTAGCTAAATGAAAAGTACCAAAACAAACAAAAAAAGCCAGCATGCAACCCTTGTGTATATTTCTTCCTCTCTCCTAACAATGGTGATCCCAACTCTGACTTCACCTTACTGAAAGCAGAGGCCACAAATGAAGGAGTCATTTCAGGAAGTGAATCTCAGAAGGGGACCTGTGACCTAGCTCCATGGGTCCCTGCTTCAGGACAGAGTCCAGCCCCTCAGCCTGACATTTGAAGCCTGCCAGGCCTGGCCCTGCTGCCCACAGCCTTGTTCCCATCAGTCCCCAGCCCTAGCTCATCCCCAAGACAACGGGGCTCGTGTCCTTGCTGGGGACACAGAAAAAGCAGTGTGAAGCCTTTCCCAGGTGCCAGGTGGCCTGTGCCATGCCCCCTCCTCTGCTCAGCACCTTCTTGTGCCTCCCCCTACACCCAGTAGATGACACTGAATCATTGCCATGGCTTACAAAACCAGGCTGGAGCTGACCCTACTTGAGAGGCTAACCTTTCTAAATCTAACCACAATCCCTCTTGCTTTTTGCTTTCTGGCTGCCTGATCCTCTTTCAGTTTCTCTGCAACCACGTGTCTCCTTCTGATTCTGGCCTTTGTACCTGAGCTGTCTCTGCTGGCACTGGGGCCTAACAGGCACACACCTCCCTTCACGGGACCTCACCTTCCACCTTAAATGCTGCCTCCTACAGGAAGCCCTCTCTGACCATTCCTGGGGATGGAGCTTGCAGAACCTATGGAACCAGACCCTGCTTCATCTCTCCCTGCTCAGAGTAGCTCCATTTTTCAGCCTCACCAAACCTCTTTCAGTTCCTCACAGGAGCAATTTTTTCTTTTTTCTTTTTGTGGTATGTGGTATCAAAACCTAGGGCCTCGCACACACTAACCTCAGTACCCTCTATCACTGAGCTGCATCCCCTGTCTGCAAGATTTATTCTTTCCTCCCTGGTGATGATGTAACACATGTGGTTTTCTCTGCCTGGAACACTGCCTCCCTCCACCCATTCACCTAACACCTCCTTTGAGTTCCAGTTCGAACACCCAGCCTCTTCCAGGAAGCCTCAACGATCACAGATTGCTGGGGTGGGTCAAATACCTCACTGGGCTGGCTCTCAAAGCTTCCTGCGCTGATCACTCCAGGCCTGCCCATCCCAGCCCTGACCCCTCTGCCTGTGCCTTCCTGTCCCGCTCAGGGCCATCTCTGGGCTCTCACTGCTGATGCTGTATCTTCGATCCCTGACAGGCACGGCCCCAGCTGCCCCCTCACTGGTGTGTCCCCAGCCTTGTGTAGCACAGGACCCATGTTGGATTCGTGACTGCTGAATGCTGGAATAAGTGATCAATGTGCTCCTTCTCCCCAGTGTTACCTGTTCCACATGTATGTGGGTGTCCGAGCCGGTGGAGGCATTGGGGATGAGATTGAGGACCCAGCAGGCGATGAATATGAGCTCTACCGAGTGGTCTTTGACATCACCTTCTTCTTCTTTGTCATTGTCATCCTGCTGGCCATCATCCAGGGTCAGCGCAGGCGTCATGGGTGGCGTGGTGCTCAGTGCCCAGAGGCAGGAGTTAGGTCCACAGCTAAGAAAGCAGGCCCAGGGTCCAGTTCACTGGATTCCTATCCCAGCTCTACCTCCCCCTACTGTGAGACCTACCTCAGCCAAATGGCCTCTCTGGGCCTCAGTTTCTCCATCTGCAAAATGGGGGAGTTCATGGTACTAACCTCATAAGGTTGTCATGAGAATTACAACTCATACCTTTAAATGTCTCATAGTAAGTGCCCAATAAACCCCTAGTTTTATTCTTAGGAAGCAGGGTAAGACTGGGGAGATGGGGATGGAAGGCCAGGCCCAGAGGTGGGTAGCCAGGAACAAGAGTCTGAAGTGGGTTGGAGCTGGGTACTGATCTGCATCCTGCCACTTTCAGGTCTGATTATCGACGCTTTTGGTGAGCTCCGAGATCAACAAGAACAAGTGAAGGAAGATATGGAGGTGCGTATGGTGTCAGGGTGACCCGGAGGGATTCTGGCATGCTGGGGGTCAAACGAGCCTGACTATATGTCTTTCACTACCTACAGACCAAGTGCTTCATCTGCGGCATAGGCAGTGACTATTTTGATACGACACCTCATGGATTTGAAACCCACACGCTAGAGGAGCACAACCTGGCCAATTATATGTGAGCACAGGGCTGCTGGCCAATCAGGAGGATGGGTTGTGGCCTCTACCAACCAGGGCAGAGGGCTACTTAGGGAAAGGGTGTGGTATGCGTGTGAGTGGGGTCCCAGGCAGCCAATCAGAAGGTAAGGGTCGGGGTTGGGGCTGTGGCTCACATGTAGCGATGGCCCTGAGTTTTATCCCCAGTACTACCACAAACAAATGAAAACAGAAAGTAAGGATGGATCTACCCTGTCTCCCTTAGGTTCTTCCTAATGTATTTGATAAACAAAGATGAGACAGAACACACGGGTCAGGTAAGAGGGTGTTAATAAAGGATATGGACAGGGTCGTGGAAGGGTTTTTTTGTTTTGTTTGTTTTTCGGTACCAGGGATCGAACTTAGGACCTTGTGCTTTCGAGGTAGGCAGTGGCACCACTGAGCTAAATCCCTGGCCCGGTGGAAGTTTTAATATAAGGCTAATCAGCAGGTGGCAGTAGAAAGCCGGAATCAATATCAAGCATTTGAAGATGTGACCAGTGGATTCTTATCTCCCAATCTAGGAGTCGTATGTCTGGAAGATGTACCAAGAGAGATGTTGGGATTTCTTCCCAGCTGGTGACTGTTTCCGCAAGCAGTATGAGGACCAGCTAAGCTGAGACTCCCAGCTGGCCCTCCACCCCCACCTCAAGCGCCTTATTCTCACTGCAAGTCCTTGAGCCCCCAAACCCCTCTCCCCAAGGCAGCTGAGGGAGAGGTAACCTCGTACCAGAGAAATAAAGTCTGTGCTGCACCCCTGCCATCACTGTGTTGGATTGCTGAAATTTTGTAAGAGTGGGCATCCAGAAATTCCGCCTTCCCCCAAAAAGACAAGATGGCAGCAGAGGCTAACATCATGTTTATTGGAAGACTGGGACATGACATGGCCACTAGTGTGTCTGTTGGAGAGAGGGTGTACGGTCTGGTTCCTGACACCCCCCTGAGGACTCATTCCTGGATATAGAGGTTGCTGGGTGCAGTGGGATCATCTGCTGGTCGTGTCTCCACCACTACAGGCCTGGGGAAGGGAGAAGTCAGGTCATTTGTTCATTCGTTCATGCATTTGTTCATTCATTCACAAAATAGCAGAGACTCTGCCAGCCCAATGCTGGGCCATAATGATGAGCACAGTCCCTGCCCCTAGGGAGCTCATAGTTGGAGGGAGACCAACACAGACCAATGAGTTACATAAGTGCAAAGCAGATGGGGGCATGGCAAGGAAACCCAGCCCAGGAGGACAGCCAGGGCTCCTCCGAAGGATGCATGATGGTGCCTGAAGGAGGCTCAGGACGGGACTCGGGGGAAGAGCGGGGAAGGGTGTTCTGGGCAGAGAGAACAGACTGTGCAGAGGCTCTGAGGTGGAGAGAGGCTGGGGCTTGGCCAGAGGTGCCATGGCCTTGTAGGCTGTGGCTGGCATTGAGCGTTTTCTTGAGGACATAGAGGGATTTAAAGCAGTGAGAGTGATCAGCTTTGGATTTTAAAAAGACCTCTCTGGATATCAGAAGGACACAGGACAGTGGTGGTGACCCTACTATGGCACATACACCACAGCAGGCTGTTTGTATCGCTGAAAGATCTAAAAGGTTCACCATCACTAACATATGAGATCTTTAAAAAGGTTCCCACTGGCTAAATCAAAGACTATTTGTGCCTCAAAATAAATATTGAGGGTCATAAATTACAACCCATAGAATGAAATAGAAATCCACGTAATGATGCTGAAATAGGTGGCAGGTATGGAGGTGCACACCTCTAATTCTAGCATTTTAGGAGGTTCAGGCAGGAGGATCTCAAGTTTGATCCCAGCCTGGGCAATGTAGCAACTCAGACAGGTTTTGTCTCAAAAATCAATCAATCCATCAATCCCCAGTACTGCAAAAAAAGAAAAAAAGTAAATGGTGAAAAAGGCTAGGTCTTCCTAACAGCAGAATGCTCACTAATACATGCAGAAGGAAGGACTGAAGTAGAGAATCAACATTTATAAAGTGAATGCTTAGCATGTGAGAGTGTGGGTTCCACCCTCAGTGCCACAAAGGGGAGAAAGATCAAGATCATTTGGTAACATAATTGATTCTAATATGATAGATTCAAACAAAAAATCATCAGTAGGGTTTAAAAAAATAAAAATCTGATGAGAAAGTATATTTACATAGTCTCAACGAAATTTTCCCCAGAAATACTTGTTATTACAAAGGGAGAGCTTTGGAGGGGACTGGTTGTCTGCCCCTTAATCAAGAGATCAAACTGACATCAGATGCCCCTGAAATGACACACCGTGAAGGACACAGCACCACACCTCCTCAACAGGTTCAAGGCCCTGAGTTCAAAAGCCACCAAAATAAAAGGTTAACATGTGGGGAATCCAGATGAAGGGGACACAAAAATTTTTGTATTATTTTTGAAATCTGAGTCTAAAATTATATCAAAATAAGAAATTAAGGGCCGGGGATTTAGCTCAGTGGTTCCACTGCCTGCCTCGCAAGCCTAAGGTCCCAAGTTTGATCCCCAGTACAAAAAGAAAAAAAATTAAAAATTAAGCCAGATCTTTCACTACATATTAAACTAAAATAAAAATGGGCTGAGTGTGGTGGTACACCCCTATAATCCCAGAACTGAGGAGGCTGAGGCAGGAAGATCACTATGAGTTTGAGGCCAGCCTGGGCTACATAGTGAGTTCCACACCAGCCTGAACTATGTAGTGAGGCTGTGTCTCAAATAAATATAATAAAATTAAAAATAAAAATCAAAGATCTAAATATTAAAATAGAAACACAACCTGCTGAAAGATTAAAATAGGTAAAACTCTTGAAGATATAGCCGTAGGCAAGGGCTTTCTGAATAGAAACAATTGCACAAGAAATAACACCAAGAATTGGGCCGGGGATTTAGCTCAGTGGTTCCAGCACCTGCCTCGAAAGCGCAAGGTCCCGAGTTCGAGCCCTGGTACCAAAAAAAAAAAAACAACTTCAAACATCAAGAATCAACAAATGAGATTACAGTATATCAAATTAAAAAGCTTCCAGGGCCGGGGATTTAGCTCAGTGGTCCTGGCACCTGCCTTGCAAGGACAAGGTCCCGAGTTCAATGCATGGTACCAAAAAAAAAAACTTCTAAAAATTAAAAATAAAAAGCTCGTGCACAGCAAAAGAAACAAACAACAGAGTGAACAGACAATCCCCAGAATGAAAATTTTTTTTACCAGGTGTACCTTGGACTGAGGACTAATACCTAGTAAAAAGAACTAAAAAAAACTAGACTCCCCCAAAATAAAAGACCCAATCAAAAATGGGCAACTGAAATGAACAGACACGTCTCAGAAGAATTACAAATGGCCAATACATGAAAAAATGTTCAACATCACTGGCCACAGAGAAAAGCAAATTAAAACAACATTGAGATTCCATCTTACTCCAGAAAGAATGGCTATTATCAAGAAATCAAATAACAGCTAATGTTTGAGAGGCTGTGGGGGATAAAAGAACTCTTCTACATTGTTGGTGAAAATGTAAATTAGTACAACCATTATAGAAATCAGTATAGAGATTCTTCATGAAAGTGAAAATAGAAATTCCATTTGACTCAGCAATTCCCTTTCTAGGTATTTCCCCAAAGAGTTAAAGTCGTCATATTACAGTGATATATACATACCCATGTTTATAGCAGCACAGTTTCTAATGGCTAAATCAACAGATGAATGGATAAAGAAAATGTGATGTTTATACACAGTGGAGTACTACTCTGCTATAAAGATAAATTTGCATCATTTGTAGGAATATGGATGTACCTTGAGACCTTAATGTTAAGTGAAATCAGTCACATAAGTTTCAATACTGTAGTTTCGCCGGGGATTTAGCTCAGTGGTTTCACTGCCTGCTGTGCAAGCGCAAGGACCCAAGTTCGATCCCCGGTACCAAAAAAAAAAAAATTGTAG